TATTGATGGACCTTGATGAAATGGAGTACTATGACAGTTAGATTCTCAAAGAAAAAAAAACAAATACGGAGGTAGGGGTGGACAAAAAACCGGGACCCGTCCGAAACCGTTATGTCCGATATGGAAATCTGTTGATACGGACGGATATAGATGGGTATCGAATGTGGAAAGATGGAAAAATCGAGTTTCAATGGATATCTTTGGTTCGGTTCGGATGATAAAAATTTATCCAATGAAAACCATGACAGACCGAAGTGTATTATTTTTATCTGAATAGTATAGATAGTTGTTTTCAAAACTCCAAAAACTATTATTTTAATGTTACTACAATGATGATGTTCACGTGTCCATTATATTGAAATTTACTTTTTCATTCATATACTCTCTGTTCATTTTCTTCTCTCTCACCAATAATTGATTACTTTCCTCTCTCTCCTTTTTCTCTCCAAGACACAACAATACAACACTTCACTTTCCTCTCTTTCCTTTCTCTCTCCAAGACACAACACAACACAAGACTTCACACTTCTCAAACAACATTTTTAACTTCTATATCTGAAACATGCTAATCTCTATCACGATAGTTTTTTCTTTCAGTATTTGTATGTCCTGTTAACATCTCTATACAAGATACTGCAACTATTTTTTTGACAAGAAGAAACACTTATTTTGTTCTTCTACTCATATATTCTTTAAACATGCATTCTGGATCTAGCTTCAAAACGGAATAATATATTTACAAATGTTCAAAACAAGTTATTGTATTGTTTGATTTTAGTTGATTTTTCATTGTTTCTCATTTTAAATGTATGAGTTTCTCTCTTTTTATTGGTCGGTGTTTTTCTGGTTTTGATTTCGATATTTTTTTCAATTTGTGATGTTAACCGATGAACCCACCCGCGAAAACCGTTATCCGAGAGAACTGCCACCCGTAAAAACCGATATGTGAAATGGACGGCAGTGGATTGAAGTATGAAATCCAACGGGTTTGAGCGGTGAAGGATTTTCGATCCGAAACCGCCCGCTGCCGACCGTTGTCCACCCTTATACGGAGGTATATCTTGAAAATGGTTGGTATGAGTATGCAATATCTAGAAAATTTAGTGTTGGTGATGAGTTAAACTTTTATTATCGAAGGGGTTCACATACGTTGTATGTTAAGCATAACAGAAAACATCCAAAAATTTATTAACCAATAGGATAATTTGTCTATGCGATTTTTATGTTTAAATTGTTGTATTAAGATAATTTTTTTCAGCTCTCTTTGTACCTTCCTATTTGATATTGAGATCAATGTTTATGTTTCTTTACTCATTTATTCTACTTAATATAAGTTACAAGTGTTATCAAATTTCGCATAACAAAAATAATATTATGAAATAATTTTCTTTTCAGTATTACACATTCCGATATAAAAAATGAATAATTTATATAGTGTGACCCGTGCGAATGCACGAGTCCTTTACTAATATTTTAAAAGAGATGATTAATCCGTACCTATAATTTTTTGATATATAAAAATATTTGACCATGAGGAGATCAAAGTAAGTAACTTAAGCATCCAATAATTGGAGAAAAACATCTTTTTGTTTGGATTTTGCATCAATTTATGAGGGGAAAAAAGAGTTGACTATATAACAAGAAACTTGTTTATTTAATAAACACATAAATTAAAAATATGAGAGTATCATAACATTAGACAAATAACATATTGCATGTCTGTCAAAGTCTCATGAACAATACAATCACTCACAATATCGAAATTTGAAATTACAACTGCACAGTACAATCACCGGCAATATTTATATCTAATGACACATACCAAGTTTTTGATAAAATTAAAGTATTCCCAGGGTTAAAACGCCCGTTAACATGTTAACATCATACATGAGTGTATCTTTGAATGAACCAAAGCATATGTGATTGGCTGCTAAAATCTTGAAATCCATGTTTAGAAGTTGAAGATTAGGTTATGTACCAATTTTCTAGCTAAAACAATGATAGTTCATTTGTAGCACACATCAAATATGATTCTTAATTAGAACTAAACACAATAAAATAACACCAAACATCAAATTTCATATTGATATGAATGACTGATAATTTATATAAATAGTACAATTCTCGTAATCTGAATTAGTTAAAATCAAATTTTCTCTTCACTGATTTAGAAGGCAACATTGTACAATAAAATGTCATGTGTGATTTATTACCGCATAGACTTTCTTACACTTTAACAGTAAATTAAAAAGAAAAATCATTAAAAAATTGCTTCTGTTTGACTTTAAGAATATGAGGATCAACATCAATTCCCATATTTGCTCCAGTGCCTGCTATAATTCTCATAGTTGATTCAATAGTTCAACAATTCAAGTCCGGGAACTTCTCAGAAGCAATTGTACGCAGCTGATCAACTGTGACTTTTCCTACTTTTTGTGTCTTGGGGTCTTTCGAATCCTTAGAACGTCGGAGATCAAACTTTTCATTAGCAATCTCTTCACAACGCACAATTGCCACCATTAAATACCTGTTATAAAATGCAAATCAGGATGACAAATTTTGAATAAACCAAAAAATAGATATGTGATAATGTATAACCAACTCGAACCAAGCATAAATCATAAAATGCTGTTACATTGCATAGAATGACAACTCACATTTGTGGAATTTTAGAAAAAAACAGTATTGTTTAGCGATACACAATTTAAAACAAAATGCTGTCAAATAGTAGCGATTCTGTGTAGCAGAATTTGAATAAACCACAATTTTCTATGATATGTGATTATAGAATACAAAATGAAACTGACCAGTTCAGTTTCAGGGAGATGGAACATTTTTATCCATGCCCACCAAGGTATGATGGAGGTGTCAAACACAATAGGACTGTCATTGCGAATGATTCATTCTGGGTTAGTCTCGAGCCATTTTCTCCTCCTTGTCTCTCTGAATATGGAAACAACCAAAACAGAAAATCAATTGATTCTTAGATGAATTGAAGCTCAAACTATTTAGAAATAAAGAATTAAAAAATGAGAAAATTATAACATACAAGTCTAATCTGTAACCTAGTCTCGATTACAGAACGGAAACTTGTCAAACATATTCCATAGGCGTTTGGAGCACATTTTCCAATTTTTTGCACTTCAAAATAGGGTGTTTTGAAGATTCTTCCACAACTAATAGATTTAAATTCTAAAGTAATGAGTGAGCTCTTGGGTTTTAATTGTGTGATTCTTGCATAGAATGGATTGGTAAATCAATGTTATCAATACCAACTTGTAGGACGGAGCTGCTGACTCCGAAAATTCTATAACTCATGTCCTCTATCAGAAATTAAAAAAATATGTGATTATCATTTTACACTTAACATATCAATGCTAAAAAAACAAAAATGTTGAATATATTTTCATTACTAATATTTAATATTAATAATAATAGTTGAATCTAAAAACTAATAATCTAAAGGAGCTGAAGCAAAAAGAACATAACACACAGTTATGCTTGATGTAAAATAAGGCAAAATAAGAAAGGGAAGAACTGAGATGTTTAGAAAGAGGGATAGGTGCCTCTGGTTTCTGTCGGTTTATCCGAAGGTCAGGGTAGGCCGAAGTAGTACTATTTCAGTGGTATAGTGGATGGAAATGATATATTGTATATTGGAAACCCGTTGAAGTTGTGGTGACTCTATTTCTGTTGCAATGGCGCTGCTGCAAAATAACCAAAATTTATCAGGGACATGTATCCTCTAGCATTTTCTTTATAGTACAATTTTCTTCTTCTTTCACATGTACGAATGTTGTTTTCTTATTAACTGCGTTTTTAGATTATAAACTCAGTTATTGAAATTTGTTTACTTCCATATGTGAAACCCTACCAACACTTGTAATTCAGCTAGCATAATCATCAATCAAGCAGAAAATGGATTTGAGTTTAAGTGAATATATTACAAAATCAATTAATTAAAAATCAATTTTTTCACAGTAGAACCAAACACATGCTAAACATTTCCAGATAAAATTATAAAATTAATAAAATAACAAAATTCTAGCCTACAATACAAAGAAGCATAAAGTAAAAGACATAAAAGTTACCAGCATCAATAACAAAATCCCAATCGGTGGTAAAAATCCAGAACAAAAAGGTAGAAAATATTGGCCAATTATTTCTTGTGCAACCGTGCACTATCACATGAATCTACGATAATTCTAAACAACTGGAACTGCTGGGTTCTTAGGCAAAGGAGGTGTCATAAGACCTTGTGCACTCATAAAGTAAATCACTTAACAACGAGTTAGCCAGTTAGTATAGTTTTCATTAGATAGGGTAAATGATAAGGAGAGTGTCAAGGAAGATCATTCTTCCATTTCAATTTGAAGCAGAGAAGGGAAGATATGAAGGCATACCAAGTCCTCTGGCGCTTAAAGCCTCGACTATAAATATGCTCATGTCGTAAAATAGTCTTCTCGCTATATTCAACTCTGTCTAAGAACTTCTAAAACCATATATCTGCTTAAACAATTCATTAGCAGTCCTGAAACCAACAAAAAAAACATTCTCAACTGAATTAATTTTGAAGACTTTCTTAAACCTTTTTACTCAATGTAATTCCTCTTGGCAGCTTCTTTAATAGCCTTATGCATAACTTTTCATTTAGCACTTGACACAAACACAAAGTTGTACTTAACACTAACACAAAAAGTTGGACTTAACACAATTCCATTTCTTAACATGGTAGAGCTTATAATAGCCTATCTATTTAACTATACATCGGATTTAACTCATTCTTACAAAACCTTGAGATGCATCATTTTTCATAAATTCTTTTTAGACCTTATATCATTAAGAGAGTGACAATCTTCGAAGAGTCGAAACATACCAATTCCAAGGAAATACTTGCATCTGGTTTTCTGTTGTTGCTCAACAATATTTGCCTCAATTAACATCAGTACTAAAATCACGCCGACTGCTCCACCCGAAAAGGATGCCACAATTGGGTCGACCTAACTAGATTTATGAACCAACCAAATCGTAATCAGTTATTGATCAAGTAAATCTGCAATTCTTAAACATAAATCGCAAATTGATTATGTCGGCTAGTCAAAGAATATCATACATTAGTTGCAAAGGCAAATGCAAGCTTTTTATGAAATCCTCAAATGAGGTACAACCTATACCCAATTTCAGTTCCAACTTTCGTTAATTTAAGGATATTAAGAATTAAACTCAAACATTCTGCAAGAAAATTACCAATATTTGTGGTTTACAACATTGCTACCATTGATCCCAGGCTCCCCAAAGCTAAACTTGCTCTTTTCAGATTCAGGAAGAATGACATGTTGAAACGGTGGAACGAGTAAATTCTCAATCTTCTTCTCTACTTAAGAAGCAACTTCCTCAGAATCAAGGACCTTAGACACAGACGACAATTGTATGGTAGTTTCAGCTGAAACGATAGAAGACTCGGATACGCTTACTGGTCCGGAAGCCTGGTTAATTGTATATGTTGGCTTTGGTTTCCACTCCTTAATAGAACTAGTTGTGGTAAATAAAAACATTATAAATCTAGATCTGAACCAACTCATGATCATAAATGGCCAGCAGGGATGAATTAATGCAGACACAACTAACAACATATCAGGATAAATGTATACAAAATCTTAAAATTCAAAACAACAATGTAATAAGTGAAAGGCACATAAATACATTCAATAGAACCGATTTATGACAAAACCTTAATGATCAATTAATAATTAACACATTAGATACATAGTAAGCATGATGCCAATTGCAGCTCTGACATCATAAAATTCTATAAACTTGTGATGCCTCTTGTGAGGAGTTTCCCTTATCTGCAGAGATATCCAACTATTCATCTTAATTTCAAGTTTAAGCAATAAATCGCATATATCGTGTCTGTTTCCATGAGACTCAATGCAAAACATAACAATTTTTAAAAGGATAAAACTATCACCTCTTTGACCTCTCCGTAAGCCCCAAATATTTGGCGGAGGTCTTCACTTGAAACTGATGGATCCAAATTGAAAGCTACCAAGGTTACTTGGTTGATATCCTTGTCTGATGGATTATCCTGCAAAGTCAAAAAGAAATAAAACAGGAAATATAATATGAATGTCAGGGCGTTCAGCTAGTAAAATAATAAATGACAAAATTGTTTTTAGGTAAGAAACCTTTGGTATTGAAAAGTGAATGTCGAGTTTCCTACGCTGCAAAGGCTTGTTTTGCAATGCACGCATAGTTGTTCGAGCAACACATATGTCATAATAGGATATCATCACAAATCCACTATGTTTACGTGCAGTATATAGGGTTCTAATATCACCATATTGCTGAAAATAAAAATGAAAGCTCACTTACAAATTGATTGATCGACGGATGCAACCATCCTGTTGTTATGGCTTTTACTCTGACAATAGCTTCCAAAACCCCTACTGCACCAACACCAAGGAAGTGCCCTATAATAGAAGGAAATCAGAGCACGAACAAGATTATCTCAATAGCTACTACAAATTATCCGCATTATCTTTGGGACTTCACTCCTGAAAGGGGTCGGACAGCAGCATTTGCACTCGATGCACGTGAACTACGCCCAACGGCAGCTGCAATTACTTCATATCTCTGCAATGCAAATAAATTCATTAGGAAAATATAATAGCAGCCGTAAAGTTGTTTCAATTTGGAACATTTCCAATTTAAGTTGTTTCAACTCATCAGAAGAATCAGTATCCTGGCAAGGGGTAGGGTTTTCCCTAAACAAAAACAAACTTGTTCATTGCTTTACCTTCTTCGTCTGTATGAATTCCAAGAGACTTCCAAACGGCGACACAATTTTTTGAACTTTCCTGGAGTATTGTTGCCCCATTAACAGCAAAATCAATGCCAAGAGAACCAATCGACGCAGAAAAATCAATAGCAGGGTTGCAATTTAAATCAACAATAGTAGTAAAACCAACATGATAGTGGAGATATCGAACCTAAATCTACATAAAACAAAATACATAATCAACACAACGTCAATGACTACTACGATCCATTAGATGCATCAACTGTAGTTCACGGTTCTTATATCTTCGATCTTCTAAAACCTTCTTGATGGTCATAGGGTCTTCGATTTCCAAGCATTTTCGAGAGATGAAACGTACAATTAACCATGAAGGACGACTGTAACCGCTGGTAGTGGAAGTGTGAAATGGGAAAAAATTGAAGATTGTAACTACCATGAGAATGTAAAGGGAAAAAATCGAATGTTAACCATGAAGGATGGTTGTAACCGCTGGTAGTGGAAGTGTGGAATGGGAAAAAGTTGAAGATTGTAACTGCCATTAGAATGTAGATGAAAAAATTGAAATAGCAGGGAACAAAAAAAATTGAAATAGCAGCGAACAAAAAAATAGAAGATAGCTGATAGGAATCCACGTGTCGAATTGTACACAATCAATTTTTGACGACACAATCAGTTTTTGATTTTTCTTATATGATAGATTCAAATAAAAAGAAAAAGAAAAATTTATCATTTATCATTTAAGTTAAATTATTCAAAAATCATAAATAAGTATTATATTAAATATGCATATGTTTTTTATATATTTAAAAAATATTTTAATCATATACTAATTCTTTCAAAATAGATACAAATATATATTATATGTTATATTTTATTATATTAACTTAATTCAAAAATAAAAATATATTTGTATTATTAACACATTGTGATAAAAGTAATAATACTTTATAAATAAATAAATACTATCATATACAATTATCACTATTCTATCAAACACAATTCATAAAAGAGGTTTGTATTTATAATTGTATTTTTCAATATTTTATTTATATTAATATATTATACTTTTTCTTATATGGTATAAAAGAATCATTGTTCCATATGTATTTATTCATTCAAAATGTGTATAAATCACCACTTCATCTATTCAAAATATGTATAAACCACCGTTTCATCTATATTTATCCAAAATATCTATAATCAATATATATATATATATATATATATATATATATATATATATATATATATATATATATATATATATATATATATATATATATATATATATATATATATATATATATATATATATATATATATATATATATATATATATATATATATATATATATATAACCGTTTTTACGTTTATTTATGATTGAATTGAATGATTGAGAATGAAGTTTAAAAATATACGTTAAAAAATGATAATTTGTGTTTGACAATTATGATAATTAATGATTGTTTCTATAAATTGATTTTAATAAGTTTATATACTAAAATTTCTCAACTTTAACGATTTTAATACAATGAAAAGATTTTAATATTAATTGAATTAAATTTATTGTTTCAATTTATTTATTATTCTTTGTAGGGATATTAATTCAGTGTTATTCTTTTGACATATATTTTAAAATAATTTATATTATTTTTGAAATTTTATATACTTATTATTTAAACCTGAAATATTGTAAAGAGAAACTTTTTTAAATTATTGTAGGCGTATTTAATTTATTAGAGAAAAAATCTGTTAAAATATATATATATATATATATATATATATATATATATATATATATATATATATATATATATATATATATATATATATATATATATATATATATATATATATATATATATATATATATATATATATATATATATATATATATATATATATATATATACTTATTTTTTGAGGTTTTTCTATTATTCGTAGAAGTATTCTTAAAATTAAAATTTTAAATACTTATTTTTAAAATATATCCTAAAATTATATATAATTTATATATTTGTTTTTTGAGATTTTTCTATTATTTGTAGGAGTATTCTTAAACCTAAAATTATAAATATTTGTTTTTAAAATATATTTTAAAATTATATGAATAACTTAAATACATATATTTTGAAGTTTTTCTATTATTTGTAAGAGTATTTAATTCAAATTTTTAGAAATAGGCGGTTTTCGTAATGTTGATCATCAATTGAGAGTTTTTTTATTAATAATTATTAAGATAATAGTGATTTTTTTAATTATGAAATATCAATGGAGAGTATTTTCATTAATGATTATTAAGATAATAATGATATTTTTAATTGGGAAATTTCAAAAAAAAATTAATTGATAGAATTTTGTGAGAATGACACATTATTATTGAGATTAGGGAAAGATGACACATCATTATTGAAATTAAAATTTTGTTTAGGATCGTCATCATAATAACCATAAATTTATATTAAATAAATACATTGTACTTTGTCCATACAAAGTATCTTCACAAATTGTTAAGATATTACTAACTCCCCAAGCATATATCTTAACCAAATGAATTATCTTCTCAAATTGTTAAGATATTACTAACTCCCCAAACATATATCTTAACCAAATGAATTCCTTGACCCCTAGGGCAATATATTCCACGCGTGTCGTATAGATAACGCAACGTCCAGTTTTTTATTTGATTTCTAACGGATAATTGATCCAAACAATGTAAATACAAAACTCAAAAGATATTTTCAAGTGCCCATATTTTCCGTATAATCCTCATTCACATATCCCTCCAAAATATTTTTCCATTGAAATGCTCTTGGTCTAGATTTGTTCTAAAACTAATTTAATATGTTAATTACATATATAACACATCACATGCATGATTATTTCAACACCACTTGCATTAGGATTACTTTTCACCTCCCTCTTTTCGTTCTAGGTTTGAGGACTTTACATGACTAAAATTTTAGTATGATTATTCAAGGAGTATTAAAAATTTCAACATCAGACATTCCAAGTTCCTTTGACACTTTATTCAAGTATTTAGATTGAAATAAGAATATTTCACCTATTTCCCAATTTCTCCTTATAGCAATTATTAGACCATTCCTCTTTGATTTGTATACACACTTTTCATAACTATTTATCGCAAAACCATTCCTTTGAAAATTTTTATCAATTGAAAATATTTTTGCCCAGAACTTTGTTTAACTTTGATAAAGATTCCTCAAAAGTTGTCTTCTACAAAATCTTCTGATTGCTCCATTTAGATTATCTTTTCAAGGTTTTCATATAAAATTGTTTTAACGTCTGTTTGTTCAAACTCAATGTTATATTGATTAACAAAATCCATAAAGACTTTTAGGCACAATGTTTTACCACATGTAAAGAGATTTCATTATAAACAATATTCTTTAACGAAGGGAAACCCTCTACCATAAGTCTTGACTTATATTTTGGTTCTTTAAGCCTTTAAATACCTTATTTCTTCATGAAGATTCAAATTCAACTTGTGAATCTATGGGCTTGTAGGTACGAAGCTAATACAATTATTGATGAACAAATGATTGTGATGTTGTTGACTGTCTTGGTGTTTTGATTGCTACAATGCTTACTCTTGTTGAAGTCGGTGATGAAATCTTTCCAACTCTTAAATGATGGTGATTAATGTAACGTCCATAATTTAATTAATTATTTAATTAAATTATTTTTGGAATATTTGTGAAGAAGTGTTATTAAATTGGATCTATTTTATTAAGTGGAGAAATAATAATATTAGAGGTATTATATTATTATGTAGTGAAATAATATTAGAAGTTAATATTATTTAATGTGGGCCTATATTGTGTGAGAGGAAGTAATAAGGGGGTGTAGGCTTTAAGTCCAACAAGAAATAAGAATAATATAATATTAGGTTATTTTACTATTTGTGAGAAAGAATAGAAAAGGAAGCAGTAGAAGGAAAAATAAGGATTGTGAAGAACGTGAAGTTGCTGGAAAAAGTGGAAGACGGCAAGAACAAAGATTCAACCCAAAAATTGTAGAGCGACCTTCGATCCAATGTAAGGGTGGGGTTCTGGCTTTATAATTGGATTCATGATGTTTGATATGTGGGGTTAGATGTGATTGTTGTTTGTTCTTGAATTGGATGTATGTATGATGATGTATGATGAAGAATGATGAATTTGAATGAATAATGACGTTATGATGTTGTTTAATCGATGTAGTATTATAGGTTAATGATAGGTGATGATTTATCATGATGATAATGAGGTTTGTAGGACTGTAACATGATTCCCGTAGTGAAATTACAGAAGAAAATGCAGAAAATTATGCAGACTGTCGAAGGATGTGTCGACCCCAAGCTAGATGTGTCGATACATGAAGGATATTCGACTCAGGATGAGTCGATGCATGCAGGGCTTGCGTTGATACATGTTAGTTGTTCGACTCAGGATGAGTCGAAGCATACAGGGCTTGCATTGATACATGTTAGTTGTTGACTCAGGATGAGTCGAAGCATGCAGGGCTTGCGTCGATATATGTTAGTTGTTCGACTCAGGATGAGTCGAACGGTAAGGTGCGTGTGTCGATACATGCTGTAATTTGAAGTAGGATGAGTCGATCCATGAGGAGGATGTGTTGACTCATGATGTGCAGGAGAAGCATTACGCGTCGATCCATAGAGTTTCGTGTCGATCCATACTGACTTATTTCGACAGAATCAGTTTTGAAGTGCTGTAACTTGAGTTGTAGGATGCTGTTTGAGATGTCGTTCGAAGCGTTGATTAGCTAACGCGATGAACTTTATTCTAGATGATTTAAATGATGATGAAGAGGTGTAATCCTAGTAACCAATCTAAGATTTAGAATTAATTCCCGTAGATGACCGTTATGCTGATTTTTGGATAGATTGATGAATGTGAGATGTTTAGAGGCTTCTGTTAGAATTATGACAGTAGGATTAGTGACAGAAACGAAGTAGAACTGCTGAATAACAGTAGGGATTACTGTAGTATTAATATACAGCTGAGTTATTAGTAAGATGTGGTTATTAAAGTTGTGTTTGATAGTTATGATGAACAAATGATGTTTGATAAATAAGTGATGTTTAATAAATTATTTTGAGATGTTTATGAGATGCTGTAATTGAGATGTTTTGAGATGTCTATGAGATATTGTTATTTTGGGATGTTTTGAGATGTCTATGAGATGTTGTTATTTTGAGATGATTGAGATGATGTTGTTCTGAGATGTTTATGAGATGTTTTTGTTCTGAGATGTTTATGAGATGTTGTGTTTTGAGATGATTGAGATGTTGATATTACATTCATGAAGAGTCGCATACATTACATTTTTTAGATGGAGCTTATGCTCGTTGAGATGGCCTGGATTGGAAAATTTTGAGATGAAGGTTATGCCTTGTTGATGCCTCTATTAATTGGCAGATTTTTGAGATGAGAGTTCTGCTCCAATGGTACCACATGCATTTGCATAGTTTTGAGTCGCATTATATGATTGAATAATGAAATGTATTTGATGTTGATGAATGAGTATATATGCTGTAATTATTGTTGATTATGAGATAAGAAGTGGTGATATTACTAATCTAATTTAATATATTAATTATCATGCGCTTTATTA